TCTCTCCGTTCGGCGCGCAGCGGAATGACTCGTTCAGCGCCAACAGCTCGTTCTCCTTAACGGGCACCAACGCCTCCACCAGCCCGTTTGGAAACGACTATCCCGTGTTTCAGACTTCAGTGGCCAACAGTTCTCAGGACGCGAGCGCGCAGTCGGTGTTCATCTCCAAAGTGGACACTCTGCAGGGGATTTACCCGAGGATGAGCGTCGCGCATCCGTATGAGACGTGGTTCAAATCCGCGCACGCTGGCATCTCCGCCGGAGACGTGAGCGCCGGTGGCGGCTCCTCTTGGTGGGATGTGGGCACCGGTTGGATTGACGTTCAAAGCGCGAACGGCGCCGCGCTCCAGAGCTCTTTGCATTCACCCTTGGGTGGATACAACTCAGAGTATTCCTCCCTCACTCACTCCGCGTTCAGCGCCAGTCCGTCTCCGCATCTCCTCACAGGTGGCCAGCACCTGATGGACGGATTCAAACCGGTTTTATCCGCCACTTACCCAGAAACCAGCCCTGGTACTAACGGCGCAGTGCTAGCCGGGTCTCCGCGCTCATCCACCCGGCGGTACTCCGGCAGAGCGACCTGCGACTGTCCAAACTGTCAAGAGGCGGAGCGCCTGGGGCCCTCAGGGGCCAGTTTGCGCAGAAAGGGCCTCCACAGCTGCCACATCCCGGGCTGCGGAAAGGTATACGGGAAGACATCGCACCTCAAAGCGCATTTGCGTTGGCACACCGGCGAGAGGCCGTTCGTCTGTAACTGGCTGTTCTGCGGGAAGCGCTTCACCAGGTCCGACGAGCTCCAGCGGCATTTACGCACACACACCGGGGAAAAGAGATTCGCCTGTCTGGTGTGCAACAAGCGCTTCATGCGAAGCGACCATCTCAGTAAACACGTGAAAACGCACAGCGCCTGCGAGCCCGGCTCCAGCGGGGTTAAGAAGGGCAGCGATACCGACAGCGAACAGAGTGTACCGGGCAGCCCAGCCTGCCAGTCCCCCGAAATGATCCACAACACAGAACCCGTCCAGAACGGCCTCTGAGAAGAGATATAATATAAGGTTCCCATTAGAGCCAAAAAAAATAACTTTTTATTCTCAAATTCCTTCGACAACTGGTATTTTAAAGAACCCATAACACTGATCTGAAAACGTATAAAGCATAAGCCGTTTTAATCTCCACTCTAAAAAAATGCTGGGTTGTTTCAAACCAACTTTGAGTCAGATATAGACTAAAATAAATTTTGGGTTAAAATGTAATGTAAAAATTTAACCCAACAGCTGGCTTAGTCCATATTTGACCCAAAGTTGGGTTGAAACAACCCAGCATTTTTAGAGTGCATAAACACTCTTAAAATTAAACGTTCCAAATGGTGTTTTTCGCAGCGATGCCATAGAACCACCATTTTTGGTTCCTTAAAGAACCTTTCAGTGAAAAGTTCTTAAAAGCATTTTTTTCTTCTTAGTGTAAAGAACGTTTGAAATAACTTTTTTTCCCCCATTATAAACAACATTTTGCGTAACGGATGTTAAACGTTCTTTATGGAACCATTGATGCCAATAAAGAACTTTTATTTTCAAGAGTGTGGCAACTCAAGGACTATACAGAAAGTGTTTCTTGGTCTTCAAAGAACCATGGATGTTCATTAAAGAACCTTTGCTTTTAAGAGTGTCCACGTGTGAACGCACTCATTTCGTGAAATCAGGCGAAGGCCAGTGAGTTTATCAGACGCCAATTTTGATCATATTTGACTGTAAATCAGCGGAAGGTCTCTCTCAGGTGTTCTTGGATATTTAAAATAGTCCTCTTTGGATGCAGTGATGAAAATAGCCTCGTCTTGCACATAAAGATGAAACAAACTGCTGAACTTTGATATTTGCGCTGCATCTACAGATTCTCCATTCACTCATGTCTATTGAGACACTTTATTAACTAATTAAGAAAATCAAGGATTTTATTCCTCAACAGCTGCACAAATGTCTTATCATTCTGTATTTGCCAACTGAACTGTTTTATTTTGTGCTCCTTGATTTTGAAACGGAAAGTCTCTAACCCAGCGAGTCTATAATAATACGCCTAATTTGGAGATGAAAAGTGCGTTTTTGTACATTAGTCGTGCAGTTGATGTCTATGACCGTGCATCTGAACTCTTCTCAATGCAAAGTGAAATTGTACACAGGATTGTTTTGAAACTCTATTTATCATCGAGTTTGATTTGTGCTTTGAAGTCTATCAGAGTCGCACTTTGAATCTATATTTATAATTTCAGGATCGAATCGAGTCGATCAGTTATTGGTTTGTATTTTGTTTTATTATTATTTAATTGAGCATGTGTGTTTGTATTTACTGACGTTTACTTTAAGGTAATAAAGTCAAATATGACTTGGCTATTTGGACTGTTTTTGGGGGAAGTATGTGGTCTGTGGGTTGATAACAATAATGATGGCTTACCACAAAAATACTCGCTATACTGTATGTGTTTAACGCTGTTGACATGCGCACATATTAATAAATACGCAAGGTTATTAAAGCCTGTATGAGATAATGAAAGACGACGTCACATGCTGTGAAGAAACAAAGCCGTGATATTGAATGTTATAAATTACTTAATAATTTAAAATAAACAGAAATAAATAGAAATGAACTCAGACTACTTAAAAACCTCAGGTGGTTTTGATTAGACATGTCTGTGACTGAGCTGTTTTCTTTTTAAGATAATTAAGTTAAATAAAAATATAGATTAAAAAAAAAATAAAAAATATCATTATATATAATATAATAATAGAAACATTTTAAATTATTTTTAAATTTATAATTATGATCCACTTCTACCAAAGTTTTATTCCTTTGAAATGATCATGACCTAAAAGAGGCTGGCACGAACTGTGTATTTGGAAGTGACTTTACCTCAGAACATACTCATAACTAGTCATTTCTAACTTAAAATCAATTCCATAGTTCATCTTCGATAGTTTCAAATCTCTTATCTGTGACGCAGTGATATTTCATTCAATAAAGCAGCGCTCTGAGGAGTATTTGGCGCTCTTAGTGGCCGCTGGCAGAACTGCAGCTCTAGTTCACCAGTCTATTTGATCCTCTGCTTTACCAGAATACAAATGAAAACTGTTAGGAATAATATTAGGAGACAGTATTTATCGTGTTCACCTTATTTTGCAACGCGGAAGCATATTCTGTGAATGTGCGAGACTTCCGATTCATTTGCCGCAATAAGTAGGCTAAATATCTAAGAATAACAAAGTGCAGTAAAATTGTGCTACAAACCAATAGGTTCATGATCACGACAGTAAATTTAATTAAAATGACAAGAAACACCAGTGGGACTGTTTTATGCTGGTAAAATAACTGGAAACCAATGAAACCGGAACATTTAAGTTAAAAATGGCGCGCCCGCTCTTACATTAAAAGGTGGTATGAAGCTAAAAGAGTAGCTCGAGAGTATGTCGAATTAAATTTGGGAACATATTTGTACTTGTATGCTAAAAACTAAGTTTCAATATTAGTATACAAACATTTATCGAACAATTTTTCACATTCAAATCCATGCTCTGTTTTGCTAATCTTTCACCTTTTATGCCGATTTTAAAAACAATACAAAAAAAGTCAGTATTTTTACGCTACAACATGCCAAACTAAATCAATTGAATGGCCTACCTTTTAAATAATTTGATATGCAATCGTAATTTTTTTTCTGCAATTTTTACAAACTCACGATAATGAACTTGAATGATGACGCCATGTAACTGAAGAACAGTGTTATGGTTTTTATTGATTTATTTCATTAAACCGGCTACAAAGCATAACCAGAATGGCTGGTGTGATGTTTGCTTTACAATATTGCTCTGTAGGCAACCAGATCTGTTCACACTATACAAAAAAAATATATATTTCTAACAAAAGAGAGAAAAAAAATACTAAAAATAAATATTGTTTAATGTTCTCCCAATGTAAACACTGTGTTAAACTGGATTAGAGCCACAGGAATGCTATGGTGACCTCAAGGGTTCCTACCATCACGCACTGCGTTATCGGGCCGCTGTCCGGGACAAACGGGCCCTCAGTAGTACACGACAACAGATATAAATACCGACCAGCAGCTAAATAATTAACACACAACTCAAAGCGCAAATCTGAACATACAGTAAACCAGTGTAGGAAGAAACTTCCTTAAAACTCCAGTTGTATCAGGGAATCATTTGAGCTGGGGAATGTGCTGGAAAATAACTTAGGCTACAGCTCTGAGATCTCTGCTTAAATATGAACACATTCAATAAACCCCAATGCCATGTTCACTACAAAAACATGGCATAACCCTCCCTGCTATAGTTGTAGGAAATGGTTAAGCTAGTGTTGAACACTAGGTGGCATACTAATCCCAGTCAGCACGACAGGGTTTCCTAAACACTATGTTCAGAATTGAGTACTGGCATACTGCTTAAGCATACTGTACAGGATCAGCTGTACTAGCCACTTTATTTTTAACGATCGGGCGCGCCATTTGTAATTTGAATGTGCGAGACTTCCGGTATCATTCGCTTCCAGTTATTTTAGCTGTGCAAAGTCCGTTATGCTGCTTGATATTATTGCTTATCATATTATTTGAATGTATTATCATAATCATAAACACTGGTTTGTAGCAAAAGGTTTTACCGTTTACTGCACTACACACAGAAAATAGCTTATTTCCGTGTCGCAAAATAAGGTGGATACTGTGAACATTGCTATTAAAAAAAAGTCATATAATAATAATCTGCTCAAATTATCATTCCAGAATTTAAAGTAGCCTACTAAAATTAAAAATAAAATAAAAATAATAAATAAAGTTAAAAAAAAATAAAAATAAAATATCATACATAGTAAACAAAATATTTAATATTTCTATTTAGCTTTCATTTATTCATATGTAAACAATAAAAGCACATAAAAATCACTAAAATGTAAACTAAAATAAACTATATAAATCTAAAAATAATTGAATTATACATAATTAATTAATAATATAATTATTAATAATATAATTATAAAGTCCAAACAAAGCATCATTATACTGGAAGTGTCAAGCCCGTTGCACTGGTCGGTGTATTTTCTGCATGCATCCTGCAGAAATAGTACGCGCAGTATGCAAGTACACTATTCTGAACACAGCCAGAGTCTGTAGCGTATTGACGATTAAAATAAAACAAGTAAAAGTATCACAAACACACCTTCACATCCGCTCACAGACGCAAACAAACAGTAACTCAGCAGAAAACTGGCCTATTGAGGTGAACGCGTGCATCTAAAGCACATCATTAAGGGTTTACCGTACCGTCTCTTTTTCTGTGTGGCTTCAGGACAAGAGATTTAATGCCATTCAACATCATAAATCATGAGAAACGGAATGAAAAACACCCTCAGAAAACCCACACTGGATATTGTTCTCGTGAAGTAAGTGCTTAAAGAGAAAGATTGTGTTTTCATTCAGGTAGTGCTTCGGTTCTAGACGACCTTTGACCCTCATCGTCACTGCCAGGCGTCGCTCAGGGGCTTCTTGGGCACGTGTGAGTGCATCTCCACCGGGTGATTCGGCAGACGGTCCCTCCTGTATGTGATCGTCTTCTCGTTGGTCGTGGGCACGTATGAGTTCTGCATTCAGAAAGAAAGAGAAATACATCTTTTATTAAGCAAGGATGCATTAAATTGATCAAAAGTGTCAGTAAGGACATTTATAATGTTGAACTATTCATCAGAGAATCCTGAAAAATAATATCTATCACAGTTTCCACAAAAATATGAAGCAGCACAACTGTTTTTAGCATTGATAATAATCAGAAATGTTTCTTGAGCAGCAAATCAGTATATTAGAATGATTTCTGAAGATCATGTGACACTGAAGACTGGAGTAATGATGCTGAAAATGCAGCTTTGATCACAAAAATAAATTACATTTTAAAATATATTCACATAGACAACAGTTATTTTAAATTGTAAAAATATTTCACAATTTTACTGATTTTACGGTGTTTTAAATCAAATAAATGCTGCCTTGGTGAGCAGGCTTTTGTGCTCCACAGAGACTAAAACTAAAACTAACACTAAAACTATTCAAATTAATTTTGTGAAATAATATATTTTTTAGAGCTGGCAGTACTAAAGAACTAAAATTAATAGAAGTAAAATTTAAATATGTAAATTAAAGTGAAATAAATATAACAGAAAAAAAAACATTACATAAAAAACCCTAAACTTACAAAATGTAATTGGAAATTAGAGATGTTTTGTGGGCAGTACTAAATGAACAAAATTAATCAAACTAAAACTGAAATAAATATAAAGCTAAAATAAAAAATAGAATAAAAAAAGTTACACTTAAAAAACCTAATTGAAAATTAGAAATAAAAGGAATAAAATAAATAAAAAATACTAAAATTATTTTGAATAATACTGGGAAAAAAATTTTTTTTATACATACACTAAAATAACATTGATTTGGAATGACATGAGGGTGAGTAAATGATAATAAATTAATATTAATATTATTAGTTTTTTTTTGGGCGGGTGAACATTTCTTTAAAATTGAACTCTGCTGTAGTTTCCTCTTACTGAACACACACATGAACCCACATTACCTTACGACTGTGGTCGAACTGTTGCTCAGAGTTGGACTGCCACGAGCAGTTTCTAGCTCTCAGCAGCTGTCGGATGGCGGCCAGCATGCCGATTCCCAGCGTGACGGTCAGAAGGAAGGTGCTGAGGAACGTCTTAAAGTACCGCCGACTCCAAACACACACTGTTACACGACAGAGACCAGACTATAAACAACACAAACAACAGCCAAAGTCCTCACAAGACTGCATTCTCTGATCCCACAGGAAGTCATACTGCTCAGAAGTTGCCCTTCAAAGAGATCATCGTTTCTCGTAAAATTCTTTAGTCAATAGCAGACATACAGTAAGAATGAATACAGTAAGATAAAAAAAATGTGGAGCAGATCAGATTATTTGATGAGAAATGCTTGAGTTCTATTGAGTTCTTTTCAGTTCATTCTATTGCAGAATAGAATATAATAGAATAGAATAGAAATGGAAATGTTAGATAAACTTAAACTTATAAAACTTGAATGAAAATTAGAAATATTTTGCTGGCAATAATAAAGTACTAAAATGAATAACACTAAATTAAAGCTGAATAGAATAGAATAGTATAGAACAGAATAGAATAGAATAACAATGTTAGATAAACTTGAACTTATAAAACTTGAATGAAAATTTGAAATATTTTGCTGGCAATAATAAAGTACTAAAATGAATAACACTAAATTAAAGCTGAATAGAATAGAATAGAATAGAATAGAACAGAACATAATAGAATAGAATAACAATGTAAGATAAACTTGAACTTATAAAACTTGAATGAAAATTAGAAATATTTTGCTGGCAATAATAAAGTACTAAAATTAATAACACTCAATTAAAGCTGAATAGAATAGAATAGAACAGAATAGAATAGCAATGTTAGATAAACTTGAACTGATAAAACTTTACTGAAAATTAGTAATATTTTGCTGGCAATAATAAAGTCCTAATATTAATAAAACTAAATTAAAGCTGAATATAATAGGATAGAATAGAATAGAAATGTTAGATAAACTTGAACTTATACAACTTCACTGAAAATTATAAATATTTTGCTGGCAATACTAAAGTACTAAAATTAATAAAACTAAATTAAAGCTGAATAGAATAGAATAGAATAGAATAGCAATGTTAGATAAACTTGAACTTATACAACTTCACTGAAAATTATAAATATTTTGCTGGCAATATTAAAGTACTAAAATTAATCAAACTAAATTACAGCTGAATAGAATAGAATAGAATAGAATAGAACAGAATAACAATGTTAGATAAACTTGAACATATAACTTCACTGAGAATTATAAATATTTTGCTGGCAATACTAAAGTACAAAAATTAATAAAACTAAATTAAAGCTAAATAGAATAGAATAGAAATGTTAGATTAGAAAGGTTTCACTTACAGTACTAAATTATTAAAATTAATAAAAGTAAAACTGAAAAAGATAAATTACAGCTAAATAGAAATATTAAAAAATAATAATAAAATGAAAATGATAAAAAGATTATACCTTTTTACTATACACACTTTATAACTATACAGACAAAATGACTAAAACATTAATCAAATTAAAATGAAATCAGAAAATGTAAAAATATGATCCAATTCAAAATATTAACAAAAACTATAATAGTATATCAATGATCTTAAAATAACACTGGTTCATATTGAGATCTCTGACTTTTAATTGCAGACTTTGGTATCTTGGCATTGGCAAGTCTGACATATGCTTGAGACTTGAGAAAAAAACCATTCTGAAAAGATTCCAACGATATCGTTCCTCTGTATTGTTATTGTTTATAGTTGGACGTGGACATATACATGGACGTTTAGAAAAGGTTAAATGGTCCTGAAAAAAAAACAGTCTTACTTGTAGTATTTGTGTCAAAAATGAGCGTATTGGAAATGTATAGGAAGCTAATTTCATCTAGTGGAAGCATTTGGTACTGCGCCCAAACAAAATCTTACTGAAAGCTCATTTTTTGTGATATCAACCTCAAATTTGGAAAACAACTTGTTTAGATTCATGGGTTTGACTTTCATGCAGTTTCAGAGTAAAACATGATTTGGAGAATATATATTTCATATAAACCTTGAAAATAGTAGCCAAGCGTCTTCTTTAAAAAGAGACCAAACTTAAATCTGTGCATTCAAGATTTAAGTCAGAAATGTTATTTGCTATGCTCAAAAAGTGGCTAACAGGTAATAAATGAATTATAACTCCTGCAGAAATATAATTCAGTACTATAAAATCCCCTAAAAACACAAAATATAAAAAAAAACATTATCAAACTAGAATATTGTACATTCATTTAATTGAAGTAAAAATGGGTTATTTGTGACCGCCATGTGAGCAGCACCTGAAGTTATAATTATCATCTCTGGTGTGAACGAGGCTTAATAAAGCAGTAGTCTCTCCGTTTAATCGCATTACTGTCACGGCAAAGCAACAGAGATATTACGGAGATCTCAATAGTGTTGTTTTGGTCTCCTGCACATTCTCTCTTATAAAGCCACTCATCCGAATGGCGTTTGGGACACACCCCACGCCCCCTCAGTGCTGCACTGAAACAACACAAGTCTTTGTGTGTGTGTGTGTGTGTGTGTGTGTGTGCTGCTTCCAGATCGCCATGGAAACCTGCTAAATGTCAGTATGCTACTCTGTGTCCTCTGTGTTGGGGCCGGACTGGATCGGAGCCACTGAGATCAGGAGGGCTGGATGCGTGTAGTTCAGCTGCTGCTGATTTTGTAACGGCACACAACAGAAACATCTGGCCGCTGTTTAGCTTATGAATGAATTATTGGATTATTTTGTCCTAAACAAACCCTTTCCCTGAACCTCTCTATCCGCCTGAAACAATTCAACCAGCACAGTGAAGATTTTGAAAGAAATTCGTTTTTTTTAATGCATTAAAAATGCATCTACTTAATATATCAGAAGTTCTTCCTAGACATCAATGAGGTCTCCTGAAAAAAAAAAAAAACAGAAAAGCAATCAAAATAGATCTCAAGATGAACTCTAATGTTTCTCATCAAATTATCTGAGCTGCTCTCCACTGTAAGTGTGTGTGTGTGTGTGTGAATTTAAAGAAGAACAAAAGCTTTCAAAAGCTTTGAAACTTATACTTCAAAGAAACAAAACTCCTATAAACCTCCTGAGCAAACTATGAGCAATAAAGACTCCTTTTGGCAAGAAATCAGCACAGAGAAGAGTGAATCTCCTGAATGTTGCCACAAAATCTAAATAAAAAAAACCCAAACAAATAAAATGTAAATAAAAATTAATACAAACATAAAATACAAAATTAATACCAATTTAAAAAACAAAATAAGTAAATAAATAAATTACCTTAAATTCACCACAAATTAAATAAATGAATAAATAAATAAAAGTATAAGACAAAAAAATAAAGAAACAATAAATACAGTTATATAAAATAATAAAAATAAATAGACCGCTTACAAGTCACAAAAAAATCAAATAGAAAATTAAATAAAATACAAATTAAATAAACAAACAATAAATAAATAATGAAAAATAAATAAATAGCTTTTATTCATCATAAAATCAAATAAATAAATACATAAATAAATAAAATATAAATAAATTAAAATATAAAATATAAAATACAAAATAAGTAAACGAATAAATATAAAGCTTCCAAATTACTACTATTCACCACACAATTAAATAAATAAATAAACATAAACATATAAAGAAATAAAATACAGGCAGTACTTCCCCCGCAGCAGCTCTGAACAACAGCACAGTTCATTCAGACGCACAGCAGCCTCCTGTGTTTCTCTCTGTGTTTGTGCTGTAGTACCTGTGACGTCGTCCACATACTCCACCGCTGGAGCGCAGCTGTGATTACAGAGCTGCAGCGCGTCTGATCCCAGTCCACTAGACAGGTGACACTTCACACAGCTCCTGATGACAGAGCACGGAAACTATTAGGATGTGAAGGACACGAGTGCAAAAAAGACCAACTTTGAAGTTGTTGCAGAACAGCGGAGTAGATCATATACATTTATACAATGATTATTTAGTGTTTAAAGTTATTTAGCATATGTATTACATTATTTTAATAGCCTTAAATTAATAAATAATAAATAAAGAATTATAATTAATTATATAAATCAGGGGCATTTGCTAAAACTAAAATGTAAGCCAATTAAAAAAAAAAAACATTTGTTACTTGAAATAAAATAAACGTTAACTAAAATGAAATAAAATACAAAATAAATGTTTATTTCAGCTAGTTGCCAAAGCAAAATTTCTTATTTTAATTTAGTTTAACCTGATGTACTAAGATGTACTAACTAATACAGACATACATACATACAGCGGGTAAAATAAGTATTGAACACGTCACCATTTTTCTAAAGGTGCTGTTGACATGAAATTTTCACCAGATGTCGGTAACAACCAAAAGTAATCCATACTTATTTTACCCGTTGTAAATGTTGTTTATAGTGAATTCCCCTATAATTTTATTTTTTATTTTTTATATTTATGATGTAGTCTTAATCTATATGATGCATGTGCTAAGTGAGCAATCATGCATCCCTAACAATTTTACATGTGGCCGACACTTTAGGTTATTTAGGCAATGTTCAGAACGGCATACTACTCATACTATTTCTACGACATGTGCCAATGTTTGGTATAAAGCCAGAGCACACTGCATTGAATACAGCATCCCACAATGCAACGTGATCGATTTGACCTTCCATTTCCAGTGTGAGGAATGAGCTGGAAACGTTATCAGTGACTCATTATTTCATTTCAGTACAAACAGTAGAGACATTTAACATGCATTACTGTGCATTACTGTACATCATTAATGTGCAGTATGCAGTACGCTTGTATTCTATTCAGAAGATTGTCTAAATGGGCGATCATGCTAAACTTTAAGTATGCAAAATTATTTCAGAATTGAAATTACACATGCGATGTGATGAGGTTGTGTACCATACTACTTCATTGTTGAATGCTGCATACTATTTTACTTACAACTCTTAAAAATAGTATACAGTATATGCTGTGCATTCTGTAGTACACTAGTATTCTTCAAGTATACCAAATGCAAAATCATTTCGAAACTGGAATTACACATGCAATATGATGTTTTTGTGCTACACTGTTGCTGAACACTGCACACTATTTTACATTAAAAATAGCATACAGCATATACTGTGCAGTATGCAGTATACTTGTTTTCCATTAAGAACAAAACCTAAAGTGCCAGTCCAAAAAATCTTAGCATGAAAAATTATTTTATACAAAAATATGGGCAACAGGATATGACGTCATATTCCAGGGTGTCTGTTTTTAAAAAATATTAAAATTATTATTAAATCAATTTACATAAATTAAAACTATTTAACTAATGTAATTATAATGATTTATATTTAATTTTATAAATATTTAATATTTTTTAAATGTTAATTTTAATGTTATATTTATAATTTATTTATTTCTTAATTATTAATTTGTTAACCCTTTATTTTACAGTGTCCTTGTTACAAATGTTACATGTACTAATATTATAAAGCTTTTTTATTATATTTACCATTTTATATTTTATCCAAATGAATATTAAACATTTTTTAAATTCCAAATATTAACATTTAATGTATTACCATATTAAAATCCATAAATGTAAAAATTATATATAACCTTTAAAACTTTATTGAATTCCAAATTATTATTTTATTAATTATATATACATATTTTAGAAAAATCTAAAATATATACATTTCAAAAAAGTTTTATATTATAAAGCTTTTATTTTATTGATAATTATATTTAATTTTATAAATATTTAATATTTTTTAAATGTTAATTTTAATGTTATATTTATAATTTATTTATTTCTTAATTATTAATTTGTTAACCCTTTATTTTACAGTGTCCTTGTTACAAATGTTACATGTACTAACTATTATAATAACAATAAAATATGCATAATTACATGCAAGTAACCCTAAACCAAACCCTAACCCTATAGTAAGCACATGTAGTTAATTAATATTACTCAGTACTTATGTATATGTATAATTACACTGTAACAAGGACACCTTAAAATAAAGTGTAACCATTAATTTAATAAAGCATTTAAAATAGTTTAATAAATAAATATTTCTGATCTACGTTTACATCCTCTATTTATTAAATGTGTTTTTGCTTTTTAAATAAATTCGCAGGTCCGAGTTTAACTTTGGTATGCAGAGGAAGACAAAACATTTTCTCTTGCATTCCCGCGTTTACACGCGCATGAAATACCTTCCTTCAGAAAGGTATACAAACTCTCTTGCAGCTTCAGTGAGTGTTTAATTGTGTGATTGACAGCTGTTTCAGCCAATCAGTGCGAGCGGTTACCAGTGTGATTGACAGGAGCTGTAGCAGATGGGGCATTTCTCACAGAAGGCTCCAGATCGCCGAGCGTCGTCACACACACACTTGCCGCACACACACTTTCCCCAGCCGCTGCAAATCAAGCCGTCGTCTGACACGCAGCTCTCGGTGGAGACGGGACAGTCGCAGGACTCGCCTGTCCAGCCAGGGAGACACACACATTCACCCGAAACACACCGGCCGTGTCCTGAAACGTCAAAAAGGAAACATAAAAACACACATTTATATGATGTTATATACCAGTACAAATGTGTCCATTCCAGAGATTTTCTCTGTTGTTTAAAGCAATACACATTTTTTATACATTTAAAATACATAAAATGAGATTATGACTACCTTTCGTTGTTAGGTATTTATTTCACAGGATTATCCAAAAATAGGTATTAGCGAATGATTATTTAATATATATTTACTATTAAAAAAATTATATTATAAAAATAATTTTTTTGATTATATTTACTATTTTATATTTTATTTTAAAAATAGAAATGATCAAATGAATTTATATTATTAAACTTTTATTATATTTACAATTTTACATTTTAACCTCAATTTAATTCCAAATATTAATATTTATGGTATTAATATATTAAAATACCAAAAAAAAATTATAATTATATAGAACTTTAAAAAATTTCATTAAATTCCAAATTTATTATAAATTTATTTAATATACATAAATATACATTATACATATTATACTATATATCAGTGTTTCCCAACCTTTTTTCTGGCGCGGCACAGTTTTGATAAGTAAAAAAATCCCACGGCACACCATTAAGCACTACAAAAAAAAATAAATAAAAATAATAATAGGGGAAAGATTTTATTTTTTTTCCCCCGCAATAATTAAACAATGCGTCGTCAGAGTTGGTACTTTGGCGTTATATATGATCAGACACTTGCACTTAAAGGGATAGTTCACCTTCAGTTGCTGGTCCCAATTGACTTGCATAGTGTTTATTTTTCTCCATACTATGGAAGTCAATGGGGACCAGCAACTGAAGGTGAACTATCCCTTTAACATTTTCTGAAAATCATGCTCAAATGGAGTCAACAAGGTTTTTGATGAGTGAATGACGGAGGTATGTGTTTTGTCCGTCATTAGAACAGCCGCATCTGAGGCAGTAAATTCATCGCATTATGTTTTCATCAATTTACAGGTTATACAGTTTATCGTAGCTATATGGGAGCTCAGTTTTTCTTGTTGTTTAATACATTTGGCCAAAATCTCATGATATAAAAGATGAACCGCTATGCACAGGGTATTTAAAACATCATGCAAAAGAATACTGGCTAGAACTAGACGGCAAATATTAAAAAGACTCTTCTCCGCTCCTTTATAGCCTTAGCCTTTATAGACCGTGTTTAAAGACAGTAGAAAATGCTGTACTTGTTCAGACATCAGTTCTTTATTTACCCTTGCATTGTGGATAAGTAGACGTCTGTCTTCAAACTGTGCGGCGCTTCGTTCTGAATGGAGGCGGGGTGGAGTTATGAGGTTTGACTGACAGTTTGAGGATCCAATGGCGTTCCAAGGTTTAGTCACAAGCTCTTTTAAATGCTTTTCATTGGTTAAATATTTGTATAACCCACAAACAGACATAACGATGACCAATAGCACTGATTTTAAAATAATAATAACGAAATATAATAGAGATACAAAGTTTTTGCTAATTTACCATGGCACACCAGACAACCCGTCACAGTGGTTGGGAAACACTGCTAGATATAGTTAGTTAGTCAGGCCTAGTTCAGACCTTAAAGGGTTAGTTCACCCAAAATGAAAATTATTTTTGTTTTCTTTGCGCACAAAGGGTATTCTCGTAGCTTCGTAAAATTACAGTTGAACCCCTGATGTCACATGGATTATTTTAATGATGTCCTTGCTACGTTTCTGAGCCTTGATCGTGTTAGGATCCCTGCTGTGGAGGGTCAGAGAGCTCTCGGATTTCATCGAAAATATCTTAATTTGTGTTCGGAAGATGAACGGAGGTCTTACGGGTTTGAGTAATTAATGACAGAATTTTCATTTTTGGTTGAACTAAGCCTTTAAACACATCTCGGCGCTCACCTCCACACGCCAGGCCCTTCACATACGGACAGGAGAAGTCGTCCATCTCACAGAACTTGCCGTAGATGTTTCCCAGTCTGCTGGAGTCACACACACATGTCGCGCACTTACAGACCCCTCGTCCGCTGCAGACGGCTGCGCTCCGGAGCGCTCTACAGGCGCTGGTGTCCGCGGGACAGTCCGAGGACGAGGGGTCATCACGACAGTGGCCCGTCTGAGCGCAGCCGCAGACACAGATCTGACGGATCCGGACGCTCACGGACTCGTTAAAGCCCACGGGCCTGACGGACATCACAACGTCCCGATCGCCGCCGTCCGCCGGACACCTGCTCATTCCTACAGTCACCTTGAAGAAAACCTTGAGACGAGACGAACACAGAGCAAAACCCCCACTGACGACAGTTCAGAAAATATCCCATTCTGACCCACACTCTTAAAAATAAAGGTGCTTAAAAGGTTCTTCACAGCGATGCCACAGAAGAACCATTCAGTCAAAGGTTCTTTAAAGAACCATCTCTTTCTAAAGCAATAAGCCAGAAGAAACCGTGGTTTACAGTGAATTTATAACAGCTAAGGGGTGTTGTTAAAACCCCCTTAGCTGTTATAAATTCACTGTAAACCACAGTTTCTTCTGGCTTATTGCTTTTATAAAACGGTTAATTCCATATATGTAGTAAGGTTTCACAAAATAAAACAGAGAAAATAAACTGTAATGATATACATTGAACAAAATTATAAACGCAACACTTTTGTTTTTGCTCCCAATTTTCATGAGCTGAACTCAAAGATCTAAGACTTTTTCTATGTACACAAAAGGCCTATTTCTCTCAAATATTGTTCACAAATCTGTCTAAATCTGTGTTAGTGAGCACTTCTTCTCTGAAACGCCTTTGGATACGGCTTATGGTAGAGAAATGAACATTCAATTCATGGGCAACAGCTCTGGTGGACATTCCTGCAGTCAGCATGCCAATTGCACGCTCCCTCAAAACTTGCGACATCTGTGGCATTGTGCTGTGTGATAAAACTGCACATTTTAGAGTGGCCTTTTATTGTGGCCAGCCTAAGGCACACCTGTGCAATAATCATGCTGTCTAATCAGCATCTTGATATGCCACACCTGTGAGATGGATGGATTATCTTGGCAAAGGAGAAGTGCTCACTAACAAAGATTTAGACAGATTTGTCAACAATATTTGAGAGAAATAGGCCTTTTGTGTACATAGAAAAAGTCAAATGGGGGCAAAAACAAAAGTGTTGCGTCTCAGCCAATCAGAATCAAGGACCGGAACTCTCCGTTTTATAATTACCTTTCTATAATCTGAAGAACCTTCTTTCGCCACAAAGAAGCTTTAGTGAAACAGAAAGGTTCTTCAGATGTTAAAGGTTCTTTATGGAACCATTTAGACAAAAAAAGGATCTTCTATGGCATCATGAAGCACTTCTATTTTTAAGAGTGTACTGTTCAAAAGTTTGGGGTTGGTAATATATTTAATGTTTTTTAAAGAAATCTCACAAAGGCTGCATTTATTTGATTAAAAAAATACAGTAAAAACAGTAAAATTATGAAATATTATTACTATTCAAAAAAGCTGTTTATATGTAAATAGTAAAATATTATTTATTTCAATGTTGCAAAGCTTCATTTTCAGCATTACTCGATATACTATATGTGTGGGGTATTTATTCATATTTTAAATTATTTAAAGTATTTATTAACATTTATTCATATTTGAAAGTAGCATTTATTTTTATATTTTCAGTTTTTATTTAGTAATTATGTTTTTGTCATTTATATTAGTTTTAGTTAATATTTTTATTTAGCTTTAATGTTTTATTTCAGTTTATTTTAAATAATTGATTTTATTCCTTTTACTTCTAATATTCAATTTAGTTTCTTAAGTTTAAGTAGTTTACCTAATATTCATATTTAATGTGTTCTATTATATATAGCTTTATTTTTTTTATTTCAGTTTTAATTTGTTAATTTAGTACTGCCAACAAAACATTTACAAGTTTTTTTGTAATATTTACATACATATTTGTAATATTTTTCTATTCTATTTATTTAGCTTTAATTTAGTTATGTTTTAGTTTTAATTTGATTGATTTTAGTTCTTTAGTACTGCCAGCTAATCAGCTTTTCATGTCTAAATTTCATCTAATATATGTATTTTATTTCACCTTTATTTCAGTTAACAAAATTCATTTTAATAGTTTTAGCATTAGTTTTAGTTAACAATAACAACACCGATTCTGTATGTTTTTTTCTTCTGTGAACACAAAAGAAGGATTTTTTAAAAAATGTTTTGAAAGAATGTTTGCTTATTAAAAGTATTCATTTCTTTAATAAAAGCCCAAACGTTTGAATGGTACTGTATATAACCAAGATTTTTCAATATTTCTTGAAGAAAATGTGGTGTTTTCTTCAGAAAATGTCAAAATCTAGCTGTGGTGCAACAGCATTATATTTGGGTTTGCGGTCTCTCTGCTATGTTCCTAATGTGCTGGACATTTCAACACAGGTCACATGATCAGTTAAAACAGCTTATAAATTTGTGGCATTATAAACAGTGCAGCACAGAGTAATTACTTAGCTTGTGCTATTTTCTCATGGGACAAAAGAAACCAAATATACTGTAAACCTTTACTTTAAACTAAAAATCTCCAAGGCATGTATTACCTTAAAAGGACAATTCAACCAAAAAGACTATTATATCATCATACGCTCATCATTATATCATCAATTCCTCTCATCATCCTCTAAAAACCACATATGATGTTTTCCTTTGAAACACAAAAGGAGATGCTTAAAAGAAGGCTGTTTTTCTCCATGCAACAAATGTAAATAGGCTGTCAAGCTCCAAAAAAGTACAACAAATAGGAAATAGTATTATAATTTAAAATAGCTGTTTTTTATGTGAATATATTTTAAAATGTAATTTATTTCTGTGATGCAGCGCTGTATTTTCAGCATCATTACTCCAGTCTTCAGTGTCACATGATCTTCAGAAATCATTCTAATATGCTGATTTGCTGCTCAAGAAACATTTCTGATTATTATCAATGTTGAAAACAGTTGTGCTGCCCAATATTTTTGTGGAAACTGATACATTTTATTTTTCAGGATTCACAGATGAATAGAAAGTTCAAAAGAACAGCATTTATTTTAAATAGAAATCTTCTGTAACATTATAAATGTCTTTACTGTCACTTTTGATCAAGTTAATGCATCCTTGCTGAATAAAAGTATTTGTTTATTTAAAAAAATAAAATAAATAAATAAATAAATATAGTAGTGCATATACTACTTTTTTTGGATTTGATAGTCACTGTTCACCATGGAGTTACCATAAAATAAAATAAAATAAAATAAAATAAAATAAAATAAAATAAAATAAAATAAAATAAAATAAAATAAAATAAAATAAAATTAAATAAAATAAAATAAAATAAAATAAAATAAAATAAAATAAAATAAAATAAAATAAAATAAAATAAAATAAAATAAAATAAAATAAAATAAAATAAAATAAAATAAAATAAAATAAAATAAAATAAAATAAAATAATTTCCATGTTACTTTTTTGGTCTTGACAGCTACTGGTCACCATGAACTTTCATTGCATGAAAATATCTCTTTTTAAAATGAGAGAAAATTAAAATCATACGGTTTTGAGCAACATGCAGGTGAGCAAACATTATTTTTGGCCGAGCTAGTCTTATAATTTGAGCACTTTTCATATCAAAGCCAGCATCTCTGTGCACCGTGCTGAAAACAGACGTACTGTTTGTTTGGGCCGAACGCCGGAGCACTTCGTGTTTCCAGAGACAGTGGATCCGTCGGGGCAGAGGGCCGTGACGCTCACCCGGAAGCGCTGAGCCTGGCTGTCCTCCAGCCCGATCTGCACCTCCACATCCGACAGCAGCTTCTGCAAGAGAAGACAGGGCAGCAGCTCAGAAAGAGCCCATTGTCTCTGCTAGAAGCAGGTTCACTGGGAAAAGGCCGGGATAAAAATAGCGGCTCTGATTGGAGCTCGCAGCATTTTTGGCCCAGTACTCAGGGGCCGTTTATAATGCAGGCTTCTGTTCGCTGGGATCACTGGATTTTGGGAAGGACAATGCATTGTTGTGCTTGCTACGAGATTATTCCTCTTCTTAAACGCATGCCGGAACAGATTCTGGCATTACAGCCGGTGCTTTTCCCGTTAAACCGAAAGCGAGCGCTCTGAAATGTTTGGGACCTTCTGCACTTCTAATCATATTGTCCTTGAGTGGACGGAGAGAGAGAGCGGAGCGAAAGAGAAAGTAAAGCTGCTTACCTTGTAGGCATGCACTACTAAATCTTTTAGATTAGATGCTTTGGGAAAGAGTCGGCCCACGTAACTTCCAGGAATCAAGTCCAGCAGATCCTGTTCAGAGGAAAAGATGAAGCATTTTAAAAAATACAGCTCGACAGAAAAGTAATACTGAGTCACGCCTCGGTTTGTCAAAACAAATGTGTTTACAGTAATCGAGTGCATTAGTGCTGCCCACTTATTCAGCTAGAATTAGAATTTTTCTATTAATTTTTCACCAGATTTTTTAAAGCGTTACGAGTCATGAACCGAACCAACCAGCTCTGAGGGGAATCACAGCATTGTGAACTTTTGTTATGACGCATTTGAAAATCGGATAAAAAGAGAAGACGGCTTTAATGAGGGAAAGAACTACAATCCCATTAAGCATTGAAAATGACATAACTGAATTAGACATGATTTTGAAATGTAAAACTATTCATTTAAAGTTGTACATAAATACTTTTTAGCTTTTTGAGTTTGTATTGAGACGGACTCAGTTACATCATTAGCAGCGTTCCTTGCCGAGCTCTGATTGGTGGAATTTTAATAAAATAAAATAAAATAAAATAAAATAAAAATAATGCACTACTTTTATGTTACAGCCACATGAACTTACATTGTTTAAAATAAAAAAAATAAAAATAAAATAAAATAAAATAAAAATAAAAATATGCACTACTTTTATGTTACAGCCACATGAACTTACATTGTTTAAAATAAAAAAAAATAAAAAATAAAATAAAATAAAAGTCATATCACATTATTTTAATTTTTAATTTTTAATTTTTAATTGTATTTTATTGTATTTTAGTAAACACAA